GCTGCTGCAGCTGCTGCAGCTACTGCTGCTGCTGCTGCTGCTGCAGCGGGTGCAGCTTGGGCAGCAGCAGCAGCAGCAGCAGAGTTGGCGAGAGCAAGGAGACAGGCGGTGCCCCTTTCAAATCGAGAACCCCAGCTTACGGTTAGGATATTGCTGGCGTGTCCTGTTGCTGCGGTTCAGCAGTATTGTTTGTTTGCCCTTGCTGCAAGTTCCCTTGCTGCAGCAGCTGCAACTGCTGCAGGAGGCAGCACTTCTGCTGCCTCTCGGGCCGTTTCTAGCCTTTGCAAGTCATATTGGGGTGTACGCACAGCTCAGCTCCCCCAAAGAAGATTTCTTTCTTCCCTTCTCATCCACATCTGATAGCAACAAGTGCCCTGCAGAAGCCCCTAAGGCCCCCCTTAGGGCACTATGGGGGCCCCTAGGGCCCCCCTTAATGCACTGAAGGGGGCCCCCCTTACTGCACTTTTGGGAGCCCCTGGGGCCCCCCACAGTAGAGTGGGGGGCCCCTATACTGCACTGAAGGGGGGCCCTGGGTAGCGTCTCAGCGTAGGGCCCGCAGGATGCCGCCTTGCTTATAAGACAGCCCCTGAGGCCTTGAGGTGTATAAAATGTTTATATAATATTTGGGGTGTATGGCGAGCAGCTGATGAGGCAGTGCCTGTAGATGAAGCAACTGTCTTGGATAATAGAGAGGAGATATCCTTAGCTGTCTTAAGGGATGTAGTTTTTCTTTTAGTTTTGCTTTCTTGTCTCTTTATGTGTCTCCTTTGAGCCCAGCTAAGGGCCCGCAAGGTAAACACCTTCAGTACGAAGCAGCTGCTGGCTTAATGGGTCCCTTGGGGGTGTCTGAACAGCTGCAGGAGATAGGGGAGGCTGAGGAGACAGCAGAGAAGCCTCAATGATGCTTGTAGAGCATAAGAAATCTACATATTCTCTTGCTAGCGTGCGTGGCCTTCTGCTGTCAGGAAATGGAGGAGATATAGGCGATGTACAAGGGGGGCCCCCAAGGGGCCCCGGGGGCCCCTCAACATTTGTGCTTGCAGCAGTCAGTGCTGCAGTCTCCTGAGGAGACCCGAGGGAGGTAGAGACATCTGGAGCAGCAGAATGCAGAGTCTCTTCTGCCACAGACTGACCAGTAGCAGCAGCAGCATCAGCAGCAGCAGGTACTGCTGCTGCTGATGCTGCTGCTCCTGCTGCTGCTCCTGCTGCTGCTCCTGCTGCTGCTCCTGCTGCTCCTAGTGCTGCTGCAGAACCAGGGCAGAGGGTGGGGGGCCCCAGGGCATCAGCAGCAGGGGAGGGAAGCCCCTTGGGGGATGGTTGTATGTCTTCTGTTGTCTTTGATTTCGTTTTGATGTCTTCTTGAAGAGCAGCAGCTCTCCACAAGAGCACAGCAGAGTCCGACAGCCCCAGAAAACGGGATTCAATGCATGCAGCCTCAGGCGGTTGCTGCGGCTCCTGCTGCTGCTGCTGCTGCTCTTCCCGCTGCTGCTGCTGCTGCTGCTGCGCAGAGATCTCTGGGGTGCTCTGCACGTCCCTTTTGCTGCTGCCTGTGGGGCTGTGGGGATCGCTTTGGAAGCTCAACAGCTCTTTGCTGCAGGAGGGGACCTGGAGAGACACCCCAGCGGAGGAGAGCCAATTCTTGTCTCTTATTTGCTGCTCGCTTAAATTCTCTCTCCCTTCTCCTGCTGCAGCAGCAACGCCGTCTACACTATGAGCTGCTGCTGCAGGTGCCGCTGCTACGTCAGCTTCAGGCTCTTGAGGCGGCATCATCATCACCATCAGCTGCTGCTGCTGCTGCTGCTGTTGTGGTTGCTGTTGCTGCTGCTGTGCGAGCTGCCGCTGCTGCCATGGGGACACCTTGTTGTGGGCAGCCGGTATTCCTTTAGCACCAGGTGCAGCAGCAGCAGCAGCAGCAACAGCAGCAGAAGCAGCAGCAGATTTTCTGGGGGGTGTAATGACGCTTTGTTTTGCTGAGCTGCCCCTTAAAGAACCCTTTGAATGCAGCAACTCCTTCTGGCTTCTTCTCCCAGAGAGAGAGGAGAGACGCCGGAAAGCCCCAACGTCGCTGCGTCTCCTTTGCTGCTGCTGCTGCTGCTGCTGCTGCTGCACACCACCCAAGTGCTGCCAGCGAAGCTTCTGCTGCTGCAGGGCCTCACTGCAGCATGCAGCAGCACCAGACGATGAGTGACTGCAGGGCGCTGTTGCTGCTCGCGGCGTCTCTACTGTGAAGCGCAGACCTCCAGCAGCAGCACCAGCAACAGCAGCAGCAGCAGCAACAGCAGAACCCCCGTCACCCGCAAAAACAGCAGCACCCCTGCTTCCTGCTGCTGGTGCTGCTGCTGTGGAGCCTCTCCAGTGTAGCAGCTGGGCAAGAGAATACTGTGGGCATTTGCTGCTGCTTGCTGCTGCTGCAGCAGCAACAGCAGCAGACTCCAAGCAATCATCCCTTCCCTCAAAGCCATCAACAGTATCTGCGTCTCCTGCGGGATGCAGCATAATCTTAAGTGGGCCTTCTGTTGCGTTTATCTGCTGCTGCTGCTGCTGTTGCTGCTGCTGCTGCTGCTGCCAAGGACTGTTGTACCTGTTGTGATCGTTCCCACTGAGGAAGGCCTCAGCTTGCTGCTTTTGCTGCTGCTCCACCTGCTGCTGCTGCTGCCCCGCCTGCTGCTGCTGCTGCTGCTGCTGCTCGTGCTCCAACTCCTGTCGCTCCTGCCCTGCCTGCTGCTGCGGCATTACCTGCTGCTGTTCCTGTAGCTGCTGCTGCTGCTGCAACTGCAGCAGTTCGTCGCCTTTGCAATCCCTAGAAGAAAGGCTTCTAGGCCCTTCTTTTACTTGGGTATTTTCTAGTGAGTTCTGCTGCTGCTGCTGCTGCTGCTGCTGCTGTGGTGATGCTGCAGAAGCTCCCTCGTGGGTGGCAGGAGCGTGCTGCTGCTGCTGCAAGAACACCAGCTGCTGCTGCTGCTGCTGCTTCACAGGTTCGTAGAGAGTATCAGGATATCCAGATGCAGCCCCAAGAGGATTTTGAAGCTGCTCCATTTGCTGCTGGACTTGAAATGTTCCTGGTTGCTGTTGCTGCTGCTCTTGCTGTTGGTGTTGCTGCTGCTGCTGCTCTTGCTGCTGCTGCTGCACTCCCATCGGGTCTTCCCAATTGTCGCCCTGCTGGATCGAGTTGTTGCTGCTGCCCTGATCTTCTGCTGCTGATTCTTTGGGCACTGCAGCAGCTTCAGATTGAGAAGATTCTTTTGCGGCTACTGTTGCTGCTTCATTTGCTGCTGTCCCTGCTGCTGTTGCTGCTGCTGCTGCTGCGTCACATGATCTCACTGTATTTGTCTCTGCTGCTTTTTTCTCTTCTTCTTTAGGAAATAAAAGAGACCCCAACAGCAGCGCCCCAGGCCACTTCCAAAAGCTGGGAACACTGGGGGCTGGTGCTGCTTCAGCAGGAGCAGCAGGAGCAGCAGCAGCAGCAGCAGGAACAGAAGCAGGAGCTGCTGCTGCAGAAACAGCAGCACGTGATCCCTCGGGAGCTGCAGCAAACCCTGTGGGGCTAGTGGGGCTGACGACTGCGCTATTGGCTAGGGGCCGTTTGTGAGATGGGCAGCATCTGCTGCCGTTGCTGCTCTCGCTGCTGCTGCTGCTGCTGCTGCTGCTACCAATTGGTTGAAGATCTGCTGTTTCCGCGCTCCCCCAGGAGAAGGCGCTGTAGTGACCAAGAGCAGCAGGAGCTGAGCTGGAGATAGTTCTGTCTAAAGGTGAAGCGTTAATGTTGCCGGTGCTGTTGCTGCTTCTGCTGCTGCTGCTGCTGTTGCCACTGCTGCAGGTGCCGAACCTGCTGCTGCTGCAGCACGTGTGGGAGCCCCGCAAATCCCAGCTGTCAGCACCCCACAGTGCGGCGGCGTCATGTGCTCGCCAGCTGCTCTTTAGCCTGCTGCTGCCGAAAGATTGCTGCAATTCGTTGCAATGGCTTTTGCTTTCTGCTGCTCCTCCGACAGCAGCGAAATCATATGTTGATCCTGCAGCAAGGTTAACTGCTGCTGCTGCTGTTCTTGCCGCTGCTGCTGCCGTTGCTGATTCTGCTGCTGGTGCTGCTGCTGCTGCATTTCATTGGATGGATCGAGAGAAAGAGCATTCCTGTGCAGCAAGGAATTTTGCTCGACTTGGTGCTGCTGCTGCTGCTGCTGTTGATGGTGCTGCTGCTGCTGTTGGTGCTGCTGCTGCTGCGGCGTGTGAACATTCAAGGGGCGGCTTTGGTGCAGCAGCTGCTCATGTTGCAGCAGCAGCTGTTTGCGGTCTGTGTAAGGAGCCGCAGCAGAAAAAGCAGCACTACCCAAGTGTTGGCAGCCGCTGCTGCTGCTGCTGCTGCAGCGGCAGCAATCTCCCACTCTGCAGCAGCAGCTGCTGCTTTTCCCGCAGAGTTGCTGCTGTTGCTGCTGCTGCTGCTGCTGCTGTGCTGAATACGGCAGCTGGTGCAGCAAATCCATTAACTCGCTGCCTTCTCGATGGAGCGCTTCGGGGTGGCTACTGCTGCTGCTGCTGCTGCTGCAGCTGCTGCCGTAGCGCATTACCGAGCCCTTGCTGCAGCAGGAGATATTGAATGGGCTTCCTATTGTGTCCTCATTGCTCATGGGAGAGAGCACCGCCCCAGCAGCAGCAGCAGCAGCTGCCGCTGCTGCTGTGGTAGCGTCTCCGTGCTGCTGCTGAAGCCGAGAGCTCAGCGGCGATGGAAGGTGCATGCGGTCTGATGTGGGGCTCTGCTGCTGCAGCAGCAGCAGCTGCTGCTGCTGCTGTTGCTGCTTTTGCTGCAACGCAACATGCTCATCTGTAGTAGGGCAGCAGTATGCCAGTGGTAATGAGAGCTCGTGGCCCTGCAGCATATCTTGCTGCAGCAGCAACTGCTGCTGCTGCTGCTGTTGTTGCAGCGCTTGACAAGGAAGATAAAGTGCTGCTGGCTGCCTCAGCTGAACCTCCACCAACTCCTCAATGGTTGGGGTACTTGCGATGAAGCTTCTGTTCCCGCTGCAGCGGTGTTGCAGGCTGCTGCAGCAGCAGCTGCTGCTGCAGCTGTTGCTGCAGCTGCTGCTGCAGCTGCATCCGCTGCTGCTGCTGCTGTCCACCCAGCAACAGCCGTTAGGGTGAATATCTCCGGTGCTTCCGCTGCTGCTGCAACGGTGTTGCAGCAACAGCTGCCCCGTGAGCTGCTCTTCTGCTGCTGCTGCTTCGCTGCTGCTGCTGTTGCTGGAGCCCTTTGCAAGAAGGCCGTAAGGGGTGAGCCTCTGGCTCTGTTCGTGCTGCACCAAGAGCTGCTGCTGCTGCTGCTGCTTCTCGTGCTTCAGTAGAAGCTGTTGCTCCTGCTGCTGCTGCTGTTCATGGTGCAGCAGCAGTTGCGGCGGAGGCTTCCTCACCAGCTGCAGCTGCTGCAGCTGCCCGTCCTCAAGCAGCTCCTCTCCCTTCCGCTGTATATGCACTTCGTACAGCTTCGTGCTGCCTTTATATGTGGGGCGGGAGTCAAGGAACGGGTTGCTGCAGCACCAAACAGCAGCAGCAGCAGCAACACCAGAAGCAGATACCCTCTCCAACCACAGCTGCAGCAACAGATTCAGCTCTATCGACTGCAGCAGCAGGAGCGGCAGCAGCAACCAAACAGCAACAAGATCTGCAGCAGCATCTGCAGCAGCAGCATCACCAGCACGGTGCAACAGCAAGGCTGCACGACGCGTGTCAGCCGCTACTGCAGCTGCAGCAGCTGCTGCAGTCCGCAGCAGCATCTTCCGCTTGCACTGTGCAGAGTGGCAGCAAATGCACTCCCCCCTCAACAGCAGCAGCAACAACAACAACAGCACCAGCAGCAGCAGCAACAACAACAGCACCAGCAGCAGCAACACTACCAGCAGCAGCAGCAAAAGCAGCAGAAGCAGCAGCAGCAGCAGCAAGCGTACGTGTCTAGGAGAAGCGGCTGCAGCAAAGGGTTCACTGGGAAGTCCACTCGAAGACCAAAGGGAGAGGGCCGCTTCCACCTGCTGGGGGGCTTCTTGCGCAGAGATCCTACAGAGAAGGTAGGCGTCATTTGCTGCTGCTGCTGCTGCTGCTGCTGCAGATGATGCTGGAGTTGCTGCGGGTGTTGGGTCTGCAGCTGCAGCAACTCATGGAGCTGATGCTGCTGACCTGCCTGCTGCAGCGACTGTTGCTTCTGCTGCTGCTTCTGCTGCCGCTGCTGCTGCAGAAGAGCCAGTCTTGCTGGCAGCTGTCTCAGGAGGAGCTGCTGCTGCTGCTGCTGCTGCTGCTCCGAACCAACAGCAGCAGCAAGACAGTCTGGTGATGGGGAGTCGAGAGCTGCCCATTGCAGCGCTGCACCGCGGACAGCTGCTGCTGTCTGTGGTGGTCTTTGCTGCTTGTGGCAGTTACCTGCTGCTGCTGCTGCTGCTGCTGCTGCTGCTCCCAGCAGTTTTCCTTTGATCTTCCCTGAGCTATCCCCTGGCTGTCTCTTCGCCGGAGACAGATTGGGTGGCTGCACTTTGCGCAAGAGTTTGCGGCGCTGTCTGTGGTGCTGCTTATACTGCTGCTGCTGCTGCTGCTGCTGCTGCAGGACTGGAGCTGCTGCTGCAATGCTGGAAGGCAGACTAAGCCCCTTCTTCAATGCCCGGGGGATCACTTCGGGTGTCTCTGCAGCAGCAGCAGCTCTTGCCTCTCGTAGACAAAACCTCTCTAGTGAACGCTGCTTCTGTCGCGGCAGCAGCAGCTGCGGCTGCTGCTGTTGTTGCTGCTGCTGCTGCTGTTGCTCCTCCTCGGCCTCCTGCTCCTTTTGCATCTGCCGTTGCAGCAGCTTCAGCGGCTGGCGCTCCGTTTCCTCTTGGTGCTGCTGCTGCTGCTGTTGCTGCTGTTGCTGTTGCTGTTGCTGCGGCGTCCTACGACGCTGCTCAAACCTCATCTCCTGAGCAATCCCTGCCCATGTGGAACTGTCTTCTTTCTGCTGCTGCTGCTGCTGCTGCTGCTGCTGACTTAGCGGGTCCTCCTGGTGCCGTTGCTGCAGGCGTTCCTGTTTTTGATGGTGCTGCTGCTGCCTCGATTGGTGGGCCTGCTGCTGCTGCTGCTCCTGCTGCTGCTGCTGCTGCTGCATAGTCAGAAGGGTCTGCTGTCCAGAGACAGACTCAGCTGCAGCCGTGGGCATTGTATTTCTTGCGTCTCTATCGGGTTGCACGAGGTGCTGCTCCTGCTGTTGCTGTTGCTGCTGCTGCTGTTGCTGTTGCTGTTGCTGTTGTTGTTGCTGCTGCTGTTGCTGTTGCTGTTGCTGTTGCTGTTGTTGCTGCTGTTGCTGTTGCTGCTGTTGCCTTTCTCGGCGTCGATGTTGCTGGAATCCGCCAGCAGATATTCAATTTTGCTGCTGCTTTGTTGTTTAGAGCATAGCTGAAGGACTTGTGGAAAGAAAGAGGAAGAAGGCACAGACGGCTAGGGTTTAGGGTTTAGGGTTTAGGGTTTAGGGTTGGGAGCGAAGGCGTCAGTACAATGCGCCCCGCGAGGCTCTTCCGTATCCTGAGGATTCGTATTTATTGTTTATATCTTTTGCTGTACCTCATCATGAAGGTAATTCTCAGAGTTGCTACTGCTGCTGCTGCTGTTGCTGCTGCTGCTGTTGCTGCTGCTGTTGGCGCTGCTGTTGCTGTTGCTGCTGCCGCTGCTGCTGCTGCTGAAACAGTGGTCTCCCAGTGTATGTCAGGGCCTTTAAAATGCTGTCTGAGTGCAGCAGGGGCAGTAGTACCTGTGGATATAGTCAAGGAAAGATGGCTTGAGGTGTATACGCAGTTCCGATATGCACTTGCGGTGTATAGACAGCTGTACAGCAGCTGCAGGCTGAATGGGAAGGTAAACAAAAGCCAGATAACTGTTTATCCTTCCTCACAATACAAAACAAAGACGCGAAATCTAAAGAAACAATGCGCTGGCGGTTGAGGTGTACGTACACCTCAAAAGCCAACATAGCACCAGTGGTCTGCTAAGGTAATGCAATGGCTGCAAAAGAACTGAAAAGAGGTAATACCTGTAAAACAAACGTAGAAATATATATCGAAAAATAGATGTTTAGGGCTTTACATTCAGGATTTAGGGTTTAGGGTTTAGGATTTAGGGTTTAGGGTTTAGGGTTTAGGGTTTAGGGTTTGCGCCCGGTGTCGGCGGCGGTGAATGGCGCAGCGGAGAGAGGGGGAGAGAGCGACAAGATGAGTTTTATAGAGGCATTTTATAAGAAATAACTAAATAATAAAGATATAAAAAAAGAAAAGTTTATAATATTAACATAAACAAAGGAATACAAACAAATATGAATGAAAGATAGCTCTCCTTGTGTGTGGGGCGTAGCGGCAGCAGCAGCAGCAGCGGCGGCGCCGGCGTGCTGCAGCATTTTCTTTTTTTTCTGTCATTGTTTATCGAAATAATTAATTTTAATATTTAATATATTCTTTTTTCTCTTTTAAACAAAGCAAACAAACCCTACAGCTTCTCTTTACTCCTCTCTCCCTGCGCGGTCACTACAACCCCACCGCTGCAGTCGTCAGCAGCCACCCACAAACCCTAAACCCTAAACCCTAAACCCTAAACTCTAAACCCTAAACCCTTGGTTCCTTGTATAGACATCAGTATGACTGCCGCCGTATATTCTGTACGATGAACCCTGGGGAAAATTAAATAATAAACCCGCAAGCCTCATTATTATATATATTATTTCTCTCTCTTTGAGCGATACAAAACACATAAACAGCAGGCGGATGTTTGCTGCAGCAGATGTTTGCTGCAGCAGGTGCAGCAACCACCTGCTGCAGCAAACATCTGCTCCAGCAGCCACTCGCTCCAGCAGCCACCCTGCTGCAGCAATCACCTGCTGCAGCAATCACATGCTGCAGCCACCATCTGCTGCAACAACTACTTGCTGCACCAGCCACCTGCTGCAGCAGCTAGCTGCAGCTGCAGCAGGTGTTTAGCTCAGCATAAGGAAGCAAATGGATGTACTAAGAGGGGCCGAGAGCAGAAGTAAGGAGACAAATAGAAGAGACAAAGGGGATGTAAATTAAATATGCAGCAATCGAGACAAACAAAACACAAAAAACAACTTAATATTCCTCTTAAAGACAAATAATTTGAGGTAAAAGACACACAAAGTCTCTCCTATATAAAAGGAGACAAAAGAAAGAGGCTGTCTCCTTCAAAGAAGCAGACAAGAGAAATAACAGAGACAGAGTGCCTCCTCTATAAAAGGAGACACATGATACGGAGTGTCTCCTTCATAGAAGAAGAGAAAGGAGACAAACTGTCTCCTTTATAAAAGGAGACAAAGGAGACAAACTGTCTCCTTTATAGAAGCAGACAAGAGAAGCAAATTGTCTCATTTATAGAAAGAGACTAAAGGCACAATAGACAGAGCGTCTCCTTCATAGAAGGAGACAAAAGATACGGAGTGTCTCCTCTGTAGAAGCAGACAAGACAAACAAGCTGCTGCCTCTATAGAAGCAGACAAGAGAAACAAGCTGTCTCCTTTACAGAAGCAGACAAGACTAACAAGCTGTCTCCTTTATAGAAGCAGACAAGACTAACAAGCTGTCTCCTTTAAAGAAGCAGACAAGACTAACAAGCTGTCTCCTTTAAAGAAGCAGACAAGACAAACAGGCTGTCTCCTTTAAAGAAGTAGACAAGACAAACAAGCTGTCTCCTTCATAGAAGGAGACAAAAGATACGGAGTGTCTCCTCTATAGAAGGAGACAAAGGAGACAAACTGTCTCCTTTATAAAAGGAGACAGTAGAAGCAAACTGTCTCCTTTTTAATCAGACAGCACTTAGAGTGTATATACACCTCCGAGGTCTACAGAACCTACAGCCATCCTTCTTATTCATCGGTTTCATTCTGCTGCTGCTCCCAGCAGCAGCAGCAGCAGCATTAAATTATGCTGCACTTGGGGGCCTCATATAAAGAAGCAGACACTAAGGCTTTATGTCCACTTGCATTCTATAGTGATAACAAAGGGTATGCATGCATGCATAAATGCATGCATGTTGCTGCATGAATGCTGCTGCTGCTGCATGGATGCGGCTGCTGCTGCTGCTGCACCAATGCTGCAGCTGCTGCTGCACCAATGCTGTTGCTGCTGCGGCATGAATGCTGCTGTGGCTGCTGCTGCTGCTGCTGCACCAATGCTGCTGCTGCTGCTGCACCAATGCTGCTGCTGCTGCTGC